CTGGTCTTGAACTCCTGACCTGAGGTGATCTGCCCAACTCTGCCTCCAAAAGTGCTAGGATTACAGGCGTAAGACACTACACCCTGCCAAAACATCTTTCTTTAGAAGAAAGTAAACCTAAAACTATTCAAGTCAAAAGACAAAACAAAAGCAAGCAGAATGTTTCTAAGGGATTTAGAGAGAGTAAAACCTGTTAGTTTCCATTTCTGTGAGTATGGTCAATGGAGTTGGGGTTGGAGGCTCCAGTTGTTACAGTTGTCCCTGTGTGGGTGGCTCTGTGAGATGAGTTAAGCTGTTTACTCAAGTTGATGCCTCAGTGCCCTATTCACTCTGCTTCACTGAAGCCTCTTGGGGTTTATTCAGACACATTTGCATTAACTCCTCCTACTGGGATTGACGTACTTTGTGAAATGAAAGCCTGCCTACTGCTGCCTCTGAGACTCAGTTTTTAGTACCTGGTTTCATCATTTCGTCTGAATAGAGTCTGAAGGATCTTTAGTGGAAGTATGCACTGAGAAGGGGGGCGTCAGAACTGCCCTCTCCCAGAAAAGCATGCTTCCCAGGACATGCTGAGCCAGGCACACACAGGACTTGGGGCTACTGAGAAGCAGGTTCTTTTCAGGTTCTATCGCTCCAGGCCCCTCCTCCGTTTCTTCTCAATCTTTCTCCATGACACTTAGCTTTCTACCTGCTGGTTCCCATAACACCTGTCTTCACCTGCCATCACCCGTTTTCACCTGGTCTCACTGTTTTCACCTGGTACCTGGTTCCCATAGCACCTGTCTTGGCCTCACTTGACATCCCTAGCACTCAGCAGGTGCTCAAAAGGAGCAACTTAAAGCACAGTTCTTCATATGTCTGAATCTGTATCCTTCTCTGAGGAGGTTCTGAGGGTGTTACTTCTGTTCAAGAGACCTTAGATATAACTTTATTCTCTTGATGAGGAAACAGAGGCCCACATTGCCAAAATGACTTTTGAAGCTATTCGTATAAAAACAATGATATCTGAGGGAGGTCATATATACTCAGTGCATCACAAAGGCCCTAAGTGATCTAGAGAGAAGAGGGGCATTCGTTCCTCAATGAGTATCTGTGGAGCACTTGGGTTGACTAGGTACTACTCCAGGCACTTAGGGATGTGGCAAGGAACAAAAAGAAATGTCACTCTTGCCCTCCTGGTTGTGCCAGTCTGGGTGGAGGAGGGAGATACAATTATAGTGGCCAAGAGAAAACTTCTCCTTCGCCCTCTGAAGGTTCACTGAAAATCAACTGATAAAAGGCACATTAATAGGAGAAAAGGCATATACAGTTACTTGACCATAGTTTATGTGACATGGCAGCCTTCAGAATGAAGACCCAAAAATACAGGGTTATCCACTTTTAAGCTTAGGTTCAACAAATTGTAAACAGGTGTGTAAAATATGATTGGACCAAAAGGGAGTGATCTAATTCTTATAAGATTGAGTAAGGAAGCCCAGCAAGGCCTGTCTAGATTCTTCTGGGCCTCTTTGGGCATGCATTCCTTCCTTCTGGGTATGGGGCTGCACCCTCTCTGGAATGGGGATTCTTATGAGCTTCAGTCAAACAAGATGGGTCATATGAGTTCATTGGCCAGTTTCAAACAGAAAGGTGGAGAAAAAGTTAGAGGAGGATTGTCTGGTTTTATGGCTGGCTTTGGGGAAAAGGGGTTCTGGTTTCTAGGATCCACCTTGAGGAAGAGGTATTCCAGATTCCATGGTTAGCCTTGGGGGAAGATGAAGGGTGAGAGACAGGAGGGCAGGAGAAGGTTAGAGAAAAATTTTTGCTTCTAGACCTTAATTTGGGTTATCATTTTCTGAGCTCCAGCGTAAACAAGAAGATAACTAAAGGAAAAGCACAGGATGCTAGGTGGTGATAAGGGCTCAGGAGCAACATAGCAGAGCAAAGGAGACGGGGAGTGTGTGATTAGTGTGTGGTGAAAGGGGGCGGAGTCCAGGATTGCAGTCTTCTGTAAAGTGCTCCGCGAAGGCCTTACTGAGAAGATGGCATTTACATAAAGAGTTGGAGGAGGTGGGGAGTGCATCCTGCAGTTTCCTGGGGAGCTGTGTTCTAGAACAAAGGCCCCTACTGGAGGTGCAGCTAGAAAGTGACTGTGGCTGGAGCTGAGGAAGAGGGGAGTGATGAGGTCAGGAAGAAGGGGAGGGGGCAGATGCTGTAAGATGTCCTAGGCAAAGCATCTGGCTTTTATCTGAGCTGGGGGAAAGCACCGGGAGGTTTTGAGCCAAGGGGTGACACAATCTGATTGATTGTGCCAACACGTTCACTCTGGCTGGTGTAGGGGCTGAGGCTGAGACCTGAAAGGAGGCTCTTCCAATGACCCAGGTGGTCATTAGACCCCTGATGCCTGTCAGTGGCTCAGGAAAGTGGTGATGAGAAGTGGTCAGATTCTGGATCCATATTGTTGGCCAAACCATCTGGCTTTGCTGATGGATTGGATGTGAGGGGTAAAAAAAGAAGAGTGAAGAATGACCCCAGGGTTTCTGGTCTAAGCCCCTGGCAATGTGGTTCTTCTTTATAGACCAAGGGAAGGCCGTAGAAGGAGCAGGTGCTGAATGAAGAATCAGGATCTGGAGCAGGGTCTGGAACCTGCTGAACTTGAGATCCCTTTTGGGTGTCCAGAAGGATCTATTTACACGAGGCACACAGTAAACCCTCATGGGGCGTGGTGAGGGCCACACTTGGAGTGTAGCTGACAGTGCCTTCTGTTGGTACAGCATGCCATGATGTCATGTTGTATCACATGCATCCGTTAACTCACTGCAGAGGCTGAAGAAGGCGTTTGAGGGTGATATCTGATTTTGGCCTTGAGGAAGAAATAGAGTGTCAATAAGTAGAAAAGAAAGAAGAGGTAATTCAGATTGAGAATGTGAATTCCCTGGACTCATCTGCTATCTAATGAATACATTTCACAACAATGTTAAATACTTTCAGGCTAAGAGAGAGTATCTAAACTGTAATGTTGTTTTCTAATTTAATATTACAAAAAGTTGTTTGTAATATTAAAGAAAAAGAAAAAGCCCTCCAAAAAAAGTATATTTGCTTCATAGTTTCTTAAAATTAACAGTAGGACATTTAGTATTTGATACAATAGTTTAATAGAAAATTATATGTTATGTAATTCAAAGAACAAATCAATATCTCTGGTACTGTTTTAAGGAGTAGCTAATATTAAATAAAGTCACCAAAGAATGAATCTAGGTGGTTTCTGTTTTTAGGAAGAAAAACATGAATTTTTTTTCATAGACAATCTAAACATTTTAGGAGTATGTCAGGTTCAAATAAACACATTGACAATTTTTACAGTTTGTAATAGATAGGCAAATTTTCATGTGACTCTCAGAAAAACACCTACACCCAGGTGATTTTCATTTTTACTGCCTTGCTGCTTTACTGTTTGAAATGATCCCATGAGTATAACAGGGCTGGCTCGCTGCTCATCATTGACAATCTAAACATCTTTTTTTTCTTCAAATACTGTATTTTTGATGCAGCCACAGCTTGCAAATAACAAGAGGGGAAATAAGTGTTTTAAACTACAATTAAAAGGTTAAAACATGGTTGTAACTAAAATTCTTCAAATGTTTGAACACGGGTTACCAAGGCACTCAATTATTTAAAGACTGTGGTTAGATGGGTTAAATTAAAGAACCTGGAGAGTCTGTTCCGCAGCTGCCTACATGTCAGACTGACTCAGAAATTCTGACTCAGAAATTCTGAGTAGCGAAGCCCCCACATCGCTACCTCCCTGCCACCCAGTGCTCTGACACCAGCCATCTCAGAAAAACAATCTGTCGCCCACGGGCCAGCTCCAGCAGATGCACCTCGCAGTGGGAGGGGGGGCGGGTGCGGATGAGCTAAGCCGTTCTGCACCCCCAAACAGCAGGGAAGGGTGCTGCTGTGTGGATCCACAATCTGTCACCCACTGCTACTCCCATCCCACCCTCCCCTCCATGGCAGAGCAGCTGATGTTTGAAAATCCATCCAACAAAGTTGGAAGAAAGAAAAAAACCTAAAATTTTAAGAGAATTGGGAAGTAGAAAAAAGCAAATTTCTGCTAGTAGTTGGTGGGTCGTGACCTAAAGCGACATTTGCTCTTTCAGCAAGTCTGGTAGTGGAACACCTGTTATTTGTAATCTGAATGAGGCTAAAAAGACATGTCTGGCTCCTGAACTTGCCTGTCTAGATTTTCTCTTTCGCTTCACTCAGAACCGTGTTTTGTGCGTTGGCTTGTGTTAGTCGTCTATACCCGGATGTCCGGGCTGTGTACCATTGACCCAGTGGTGGTGGAGTGCATGTCCTCGGAGTGTCCTCTGTCTGTCTTCAGTGTCCCAGTTTCTACACAAGCCCAGCGAAGGGCAGCAGCATCTCACAGGAGCAATTCCCTCATAACCAGCACTGGCTTGGGGAATGGAGCTGGGAAACCAAATTGTCATCAATGACGTCAGACTGAATTAATACTATTAAAAAGTCCAACTCTGGAAGATGGAAACACTAGGGGTTGGAGAATCCAAAAGAGAGAAGGGAGGAAGGAGGGCCAGGATGGAAAAACTACCCATCAGGTACTATGGTCACTATTTGAGTGGTAAGTTCATGAGAAGCCCAAGCCTCATCATTACGCAACACACCCACGTAACAGACCTGCACACATACCTCCAAACCTAAATTTAAAGTCGGCCAGGGGTGTTGGCTCACGCCTAAAATCCCAGCACTTTGGGAGGCCGAGGTGGGCGGATCACCGGAGGTCAGGAGTTTGAGACCATCCTGACCAACATGGTGAAACCCCATCCCTACTAAAAATACAAAAATTAGCCAGGCATGGTGGTGGGCATCTGTAATCCCAGCTACTCAGGAGGCTGAGGCAGGAGAATCACTTGAAAGGTCTTGTCAGGGAGGTGGAGGTTACAGTGAGCTGAGATCACACCACTGCACTCCCGCCTAGGCTATAGAGCAAGACTGTGTCTCAAAAAAAATAAAAAATTAAAAAAGCCCAGCCTAATGTAGTGAAAAGTGAGAATCTTGAATTATTTTCAGGCAAAGTGTTTATGTTTGGAGATGCTGAATGACCTTACATAGACTTAAGTGAATGTGGGGATCGGAAGTGTGAAATCATTGAACTGGGGATTGGTTGCCTGGGTTCTCTTCAGACAGAAATTCATTGTGGATTTCTCTAGATCTCCGTTGCTTCATCTATACAATGTAAAGGATAAGAAAGACCCTCTCCTAGCTCTAACATTCTATGATCCTAGGTCTTTGGAATCTTTACTGAGTATATCCCTCCTGTACCCCCATGATGTAGGAATGAATTTAAAAAATATTGTAAAGGAATAATCACTGAAATAAAAAAGCCCACAGCGAGCTGGGGAGACTCTACTGAAACATAAAAGTCCCAGAAAGCTGCAGAGGGTGTAGAGACCTAACTGTTGAATTGTATGGGACTCCTGGTAACATGTGTTGGACTCTGACAGGGAGATGGCTAAAGTGGTCGGGGAAGCTTTATGGAGGAGGTGCACAGAGATAAACCGAAGCAGCACGGGTAAGGTTACGTAGAGCAGTGCCAGGGGAAGACGGCTGTTAAGGAAAGGGACATATGCTCGGCACACGCATCCAGAAGTGGAAGGCAACATCGCCTTAGAGAGACCGTGAAGGTGCCAGCCTCTCAGAGCCAAAGCTCCCTGCTGGCACAGCAGCGGGCGACAGGCACTGAAGGTGGAGGTGAGATGTGGGAAGCAGATCTGCCACTTGAGTCGGTAGGCACTGGGGAGCCACTGTAGGCTCCTGGTCCCGCACCATGATAAATAGCCTGTCCTGCAGCCTGGCTTAAAACGGAAAGCCGGAGTTAGGCAACAGAGCACCGAGGCTTTTGCAGGCATTCAAACAAAAGCACAGAAGAAGAGATAGCACTGACCAGAGGAATGCCAGGGTATGACGATCCGTAGTCACAGGGATGAAGGAAAGCCATGGGCAGAGCTTGTCATGGACAGCTCCAAGGTGGACATAAATGGAAACTTATTGGTCTTGGGGGATGATGGGAAGAGGGAGACGGCCCTGGGCGACCACACCAAGAATTTCACAACCCAAGCCCGACTAGAAAGCCTGGGTGAGTAGCAAAGCTGTTGCTGTATGTAGGAGTGTAAGTTTTTTCTGGGTGTGTATGTATCAGGGGATATAGAGGTAACAACGCCCAGTTCTGTGTCTCTTCACCTCCCTATACCTGTGTGGGCCAGCCAGACCCCAGACATTGGGTGTGCTTCTGAGAGGGGTACAACGAGGAGCTGGTTCCACTGTCCAGATTCCCACAGATTGAGCCATGAAATGATGAGTCAGCTCTCAACTGTGTACCTGTAGGATGCTCCTTGTAATTACTGTGTCAGTTAGTTACAAATGGGTACTTCTAAATAGTTTTGAAAGGGTTTGAGTAGTTCTTCCAATTGTGTTTATACTGTTAATTGGCTTTAAATAAATTATTTTTTATTGGAGCAAAACCTCGACATCAGTTCAGTTCCTAAGTCACTAAGTTGTAACTTAACTAAGCTTTAGTTTACTCTCATTGTTAAAAGAAACAGGCATTATAAGTACAATTCTTTGCATTTTGTAATCATTCAAGATAACTTCTTAGTACATTGGCCTCAGATTAAGGATGTCTGGCTTCTCTTTAATCTCTTAGTATTTTCATTTCTGCTCTAAGGCACCCAATATTAAAAGTCCATTCTTGGAAGTTGGGATGACAGAACTACTATATGAAAACTCAGACATGCTTTGAAAAAAATGAACTGCTTAGTGCAGACCTTTGATTCTGTTTTCTTCCTCCTCAGACATGATTTTTTTTTTTAACCATGCACAGAATCACACTTGCAAAGTCTTCTTTTCCTTCTTGTTACTCTATTTAGAAGCTGTGAACTCAAGAAGTAGGTCCCATATTGAACCTACATGTGCACAGGTGCTTCTTTTAGCCAAGGCATTTCCACAATCACAATCACAATCACGCCGACATCTGGAGATACACAGATATGTGGATGGTATGTGGAAATGTGTGAAAAGCAAAGCCAGATTGATCAGACTTTCAATCTCTTAATAACCTGTCATCTAAGCTCTGAGGGTCCACGCTGGCTCCCTCTCCAGGTCATGTTGGTCACGTGCACTTTCAGAGCCGTGAGAGCACCGTAGAAACTTGATACATAGCTCGCTTGCAGCAGAAGAGAAGTAGATATTAGCATTTCCAAAACAGCTACTTAAAACAATTATAGAAGGTTGAATATTAGCCCTATAATAATGTCACCCTTCTGTTCTTACATGTTCTGACAAGGAAAAGACCACACCTCACCTCTGGCTCACAAAATTGTGCATCATCCACTGTCTATTTTATTTATACCTATGTGGCTAACTCAAATAGGCATGATGGTTACACTGTTATCATCGTGTTTCTTTTTGCCACCAGGTTCAGGGTTCTGACAACATCAGGATATGCCCATGAGAGGTTGCCACTCGCTGAGCCCCTAATGTCTGTTTAACTGTGGGGGAAGAAAGAATCACTGCTCTGAGGCACAGAGTTTAATTAGGCCTGCTTCTTTATGTTTCTCTTTAATGATAGGATTTTAAGCTCAATAGTTATCAGCTCAAAAGCACAAAATGTTCATTCTCATTTGTGCCCCGAGACATTGAAGAGTGTGCAGGAGGTGAGCTCGCCATTAATCTGACTGAGTTCCTCCCTGCTTGCAGACATGATGGTTTTGAAAGCAGCTCTGCCCTCTGGCAGTGCACTGAAGTTACCTTCACTCATCATTTCTACTCTGCAAGTCTAAAAAGGTGGCATGTGTCAGGGTACACAGGGAGACAATTCATTCATTTTCAAGTGTTTCCATCCTCCACTCATTTCCTCATCGTGCTGAGCTAGAATTTAGCTGTGTGTTCCTGAAGAAATGTGCTCACTGTTTGCACGCATTAGCTTTGTTCCACGTGCTGATAGATTCCGCTTTTTTCTAAGCAGGTGATTTTCCTTTTACCATTAAATGCAGAGGTAGGGGGAGGTGTTTCATCCAGAAATGTCCCTGACTGAGACTGTCTTCTAGGTTGGTCCTCTTTGGCTCGAGCAGAGGGAACCACTGCATTAGGCTGGACAGAGGTCAGAAGGTTGAATATTCGCCCTATTCATTCAACCTGGCTGTAGCCTTGAATGCCAACAGCAGTTGCCCAAGTTGCCATCCAAAAATACCCCTCCCGTTCCCTGTTCCACATGCACGACGTTGTGCTTATTGGAACAGGAAAATAGTGCATTGTCTTCTGCTAAGTGGGACTACGACATTCGACTGAAAAGCTTCTGAGCGTGGGCTAATATGTGTGCTCTGTCCACTCAGTTCAGGGAACTCTCATTGTATTCCCAAGGGCTGCTTCTGAAGTTAATGATTTCTTTGATGACGGATTCTGCAGGCATTCACTTCAACATTGTTGCCCTGTTTTCTACTCTTTTTTTTCCCTGAAAGTCTGAGCTTTAATTTGAAGCTAATAAGTTTTGACATGCAAGCAACCAAATTACTGGATAGAGCAAAGAGAATGTTTTATTAGTAATTTTGACCAGAGAGGATGATAAGGTCAATTAATGGACTAATGAACCTCCAGGTTCATTTTTTCTAATTCTACCTGGACTGGATTTCTGTTTCTCTTTTTTTTTTAAAAAGCTGCCAACAGTTCTTGTCAGGATTCAGTGTAGATGCTGCTGCTGACTGTCCTGGTGGTGGTTTGACCTCTGCTGTGTAGGCTTCACAAGGGGCTCTGGTTCAGTGATTACGCTAATTGCTACCGCTTGGTGACCACATACTGTGTGCTGCACGCTGGATGTGACCTTTTTGTCCTTCCCTTCATTGCTGCTACTGCTGTCTAGTCGCTGTTCTTAGAGGTCCTGGCCGTTCTTCCTGAGGATCGTGGGTCTGTGCCTCTTTTCACAAGGAGTGCAGCTTCCTGATGGAAAACTCTGCTTTCTTTGTCCTCCCGCTGTTCTTCCTCATCAGGTTCATTAGCAGTTCAGCTGTCAGACCTTAGTGTTTTGGGGCATCCCATCTGTCAGGCAGTCTTTTCATGTAAAGACGTTGAGAAGGAGAGCACCCTCTCTGTTCCCAGAAATGTTCTGAAACCCGTTTTCCCAGTGTCTTGTCTCTGCCTGCAGCTCCAGACCAGAGCTTCCTCCTTGGCCCTTACAAAGATAAGGTTCATTTTTGTTGACGGGTTTGCTTCTGTGTGCCATTTCAGTGATAACCATGTTGATTTTTTGTGAGTTAATCGTATGAAAATAGTAGTGAGAGCCTGGGGAACCATGGGGTGGAGAAGAGGAGGTTACGAGCAATATTGGTTTCTTTTGTGACCCTGAGAAATCTATCCCATACTAGATGGATTTGTCATTTGTCTTCTTCTGACAGGTATGAAATTGCCAAAGTATGTGAAAGAAACACCACATTTTTAGAAGAAAGCTCTGTTAGAGTATGTATTACGGGGTTCTTCTGCAGAGCATTTTCATGTAGGTTAGCATGTTAAAATAAGCTAGATTAACATAATGGTCTTTGGAAATGTTGATAGCTGGATGAACTTAATGTTGTTTTTCTGAGGGATTCAAAGAATATTCTTGAATCTGAGAATATGTGATTTTGCTTACACTCCTAAACCACCAGTTTTGTAAGGTGAAATTTGCAGTCCTGTTATCAAATAGGCCTATCTCTTTAGAAAAATAAAGTTGTGGTGTTAATTTGTCTAAAATGTGGATTAATACCCTGTAAAATGCTGGATTTATTTAGTGTTTAGGGTCACTTTGAAAGGAAACAGGCTTTGGTATAGCAGTTTCCAGTGTCTAAAATTCCATGTTTTGTTTCATTTTGGGAGGGATAGTTTTTGGTTGTTGTTTGGGGCTGAAGGAGAAGATTTTAAAGGAAGAGATAGAAACAGCACATGATATAAGAAGAAAACGTTAAGCCTCATTAATGGTCGGTGTTAGGGGAAAACCATCTTAGCCTTTAGTATAAGGAGGGGGTAGAATTAACATAGTCACACATCCACAACAAAGCACAAGTTTATTTACTCATTTATTAATAGCTGGGTACAAAATATTGTGAAGACAGATGCTTGGCAAAGACAATGATTAAGATAAGAAGGAGACTATGAGAAATAGACAAACACAAAAAGAATATTTACATTTTGGGCTGGGCGCTGTGGCTCACGCTTATAATCCCAGCACTTTGGGAGGCCAAGGCGGGAGGATAATGAGGTCAGGAGTTCGAGACCAGTCTGCCCAATACAGTGAAAACCTGTCTCTACTAAAAATACAAAAATTAGCTGGGTGTGGTGGCTGGTGCCTGTAATCCCAGCTACTCAGGAGGCTGAGACAGGAGAATCGCTTGAACCCAGGAGGTGGAGGTAGCAGTGAGCCGAGATTGTGCCACTGCACTCCAGCCTTGGCGGCAGAGCAAAACTCCATCTAAAAAAAAAATTTACATTTTGGTATCGCTTTTCAGGTTCTTAAGCTGCTTTAACAAACATCACTTTTTTTGGTAGTTAAAACGTTTATATGTGGACAGCAGGGCAGACACTAATGATCCCTGTTTCATAGATGTGAAATCTGAAGCCAGAAAATGTATGAATAAGTGGCTGTTTAATGTGCAGCAGTTGGAAGTGGCAGTCCAAGTACTCAAACTCGAGTGCTCAGACAGTCCGGGATGGAGGCTGTTGGAGAGAGTCAGCGAGGTTGAGGGCAGAGTATTTAGCAAAGCAGGGCTCGTGGGATTGTTATGCCCACCAGACGCCCTACAACAGTGACTTTTGCTTTATTAAGTGCCCTGGTTATTCTTTAGTAATAAGGGTCACTAGGGAAATTTCTGTTGCTAATGATCATGCACTTACACTTCCTTAGAATCGCTTAATGAAAAGCTGAAGGAAAAGCAAGATCATCTCTTGGGAGCAGACAGAAGCCTGATCAAGTTTTTCAATTTGCCAGTATGTCCTGCTGAGGAATCTGAGTCTGAAGTGGTCATTATGTCCAGACAGAACACTTCATCAAAGAAATGTTGTTTCTTTTCACAGTTAGATTGATATATTATAACCCTCATTCGTAGTCAAGGC